TTTTTTTTATACAAAATATAATTTACATTATACCAAGTATATGTGAACGTCATATTTCACACCAAAATAATAATAATAAAAAAGAAATTATATTTTGCATAAAGAAAATATGCCCGTTTTTAGAACCATTAAGATTTTTCGCACTGGCATTAAATTGTCATTACTGTAAGGAAAAATAAATAAATAAAAATAAATTACAATTATATATTATTATTATTATTATATTGTTTTATTATTTATTTTTTTGGAGTGAAATATGACCTAGAAGTGTTCATGAATTTGATGCATTTTAAAAGCTCAGGTTATTAACACGAGACAACCATATGTAGTGAAATATTAAATATTTCAACATAATAGCTATTAATATTTGCACAAACTCTGATGCACCGTCATGTGTTCATGATGCAATACAATCCATAAAGTGTCCTTTCGAGAAAGAAAGCCAGTCTAGCATGTGTCGCACTGAATACGAGCTTTACAATATTGCCAATTATGCAAATGTCTGCTCTTTAAACATGCAGGAGTTTAATGAACAGAATGCAAACGGTGCTTTAAATCTGCCTTCATTCATTTAGTGCTTGACTTTTCTACTATTAACTCTCTGTAAACGTGAGCGTCGCACCAGAACGGTGCGCTATTTTCACCAGTGTTGTTTTTATGCGAAATTTTTAAGCTTTAATACATAATCTTTGTAATAAAGTTGTACATATTTTGGAAAACACAGACGCGGGAGTTTTTATTGTGCTTCTCGAAGCATTATTTTAGAGTGTTGCATCTCTCACTGTAATCATTCTGCTCTAAAACGAAGTCGAATCTCTAGAAACACAATATTTGCAATGACTCTAAAATGCCGTTTCAGGGTTATTATGACGCTTGGTCCCACAGATCATAAATCTAACGGCAGGAGCGCCATCAGTTTCTTTGAACTCTGCTGCTTTTCTTTCTAATGACATGAAATGAGTGGCACTGAGGTAAGTGTGTGACTTTACCGTGGTGAGGCGGGGAAGCACGTTTACACGACTGACTCAAATCTGCACTGATTTCAGGCCTCCACCTAAACAGTGCGGTTCACGTCAGCGGATGCTGTTTCACAGTTTTAATAAAATATAATGATCTCTGGGTTCAGAGATGTTGCTCGTCTGCGTCTCTGAGAACAAGACATGATGTTCCTACAGCATAAAACAATGTAAACGCCACTAAAGAAATGAAAAGTCACCCAGTAAACTTGGTTAAATAACAATAAATCATATATGAAACACTGCATGATTCGTTTATAATTTAGTTGCGTGTTAATAATGTGTGTGAAGCGTCTTAGGAACCGATCCTGATGCCCATCGATTTAAAATAAATCCACAACGGAAGGTAAATGAATATTATAATGTTATCTTAATGATCCTAAAAATGTATTTTCTTTATGTAATATATATTTTCCTTTTTTTTTAGAACCTTAGTGAATTATTATTGTTGAAATAAAAGAACTCAAAAACAAAAAAATGTCTGGATGCTTTGAGAAATTGTGGCAAAAATGTGTTTAACTGTCATTAAAATACTAATATAATGTTATCTTCATGATCTTAAAAAATTCACTTTCTTCATGCAATATATATATATATTATAATAATGTGTGTGAAGCGTCTTATGAACCGAACCTGATGCCAGTCAATTTAAAATAAATCAAAAACAAGGTAAATTAATATAATGTTTTCTCAATGATCCTAAAAATGTCTTTTCTTTATGCAAAATATATTTTTTCAATTTTTTAGAACCTAAAAGAATTATTACTGTCAATAAATAAATATATTTTTAAATGTATTACAATAATATCATAGTATCTTAATGATCCTAAAAATGTACATTGTTTCATGCAAAATTATCATTACTTATTATCATTATTATTACTGACAAAAAACACGTCTGGATGGTTTGAGAATTTGTTGCAAAAATATGTTTAACTGTCATTAAAATAATAATATAATGTCATCTTCATGATCTTAAAAAAAATCACTTTCTTCATGCAATATATATATATATATATTTTAACTAAGAGAATTATTCCTGTTGAAGAAAAAGGAATTAATATATGTGGAATGTTTGGATGCTTTATTTAATTGTTATTAAAATAATACCATGTTATCTTAATGATACTAAAATTAATTTTCTTTATGCAAAATATAATTTCTTTTTTTTATAACCTAAGAGAACTATTACTGTCAAAAAAAACAAAAGCATAAAATGTCTGGGTGCTTTGAGAATTTATAGCAAAAATGTGTTGAAATGGGATTAAAATAATATCATACTGTTTTCCTAATTATCCTAAAAATTCATTTGTTTTTGCAAAATATAATTTTTTTTAGAACCTTACCTTTTTAGAGAATTACCATCAATCAATCAATCAATCAATCAATCAACCAATAAAAAACAAAAATGTGTGGATGCTTTTGTCATTAAATAAATGTTATCTTGATCCTAAAAAAAATTCTTTATGCAAAAAAAAAAATCTATTTTTTAAACATAAGAGTTTAAATGGTCATGTTTTTTATGAGATCCACACATAACTGTCACTTCAGAATAAATCCAAAGCAGAAGCTCTTTCCGAACAGTTTTTCTGTTTTTATTGTCATAATTCTGAAACACAGAATTTAAAGGGAGAAAATGCAAGTCACTCTGGCTATGGATGTGGTCTGATGAACCGATGTTTTATGACTACTCATCGTTATCATACTAGCCAGATTATGAAAAGGAAACATTCACACAAAACTGAGAGCTCTCATATTAAAATATAATATTTCATGAGTGTAGGAGAGTGTTCAGAAACACAGAGAACATGAGGAGAGTCAGACGATGAACCCAAATGAATCACGAAAGCCTGTTTCTCTCTAAAGGACTCGTTCACCTACAAATGAAAGGTGAACTCTCATTTTCTCTCCATTTCTTCTGAAAGAACACAAAACCAGAAGTTTAGCCCGATATTCACGGCTCTGCTTTATATACAACAACAGACAGCTCAGATATATGAAATCTGCAGCCAAGAACATTTCCAATGCATAAATTCTGTTTCTTCTTCCTTTTAGGAGTCACATTTGCTATCGTTTTATGCAAAATAACTGCATGAAAATGTTTGACAGGTTTGGAGTGACATGAAGGTGAGCTTAAATCATTTAAGCGTCTTATTTTGAGTCCGTAAACAGGCCGTGAAGATTCATAATAATGCGTGCCGTCAGAAATGATGAAGAATAATATAACAGCAGTCCTTTCTGTTCTGCTTCTCCTCTGGAAACCTTCTTTGTGGCCCCTCGTGGAATTGAAATAAGAAAATAAAAATGAATAAATATATAAAATCAAACATTAAAATGTGTGTATGCGTTCCCGGTTCTTGTTCTTCTGCCCAGCTCTTTCAGTCGAGAGCCAAAGCCACAGTCCATATAAAATTACCAAACCACGGCGTGGGGCGGGAGGGGATGCACATTTTTTAAACATATGCATTTTTAGTTCCTCTTTTGTTCTGTTATTAAAAGCAGAGTTTTGGAGAAATGGCAGTGGAGCTCCACCCGAGCTGAGACTGGCACACACACACACACACACACACACACAC